TCCTTTGATATTTTGTGAACAAAATGAATAACTCGTTGCAAATTGGACATTCTGTTTATAATTTCGATAACGCTGAATCAGAAGAAGTGTGTGAAAATTTAGAAGGAGTTGTTGTTGCTACCACACCAGTTGTTGACAATGACGATGAGGAGAAGATGGTCGAGCTGCTAAAAGAATTCGAAATGGAGAATGTTTTGCCATTCCTAAAAGGTGAGAAATGACTGAATAAATTAATATTTTAATCAACTTAATTAATTCTCTATTATTATATCCGACCGCGATCTGTAGCTTCGCAGATAACTTTTAGAAGCCTTAAATTTCTTAGAGGTGCTGACCTAAAGGAAGCCATTCCGCCGCTGGGTCTACGTGTGGAGTTTAGAGAGAAATTATTCATGTGGAAGAAGAAAGAGGTATGTATATGTTATAACACAAACTGTTTTAGGTCTCATAGGAAACTAATCTTGGAATCCTACAAAAAGAATCAACATTTGACTAACGGGAACCGGGACGACCTCATAAGCGTTGTCATTGACGAAGTTATTGCAAATTACATTATACTAAGAGGGAATGATTTTGTGAATTTGCTAGAGCAGATAATAAATCTCTTTCCAAACGAAAAGGGTGCCGGGGTAATATATTTATTATGAAATTGTTAAAATATACATTTTATTGTACTGCTTATTTTTCCCCCAAGGAATACTATTATATTCCGCGCAAGGCTAAAAAATGCCCTAGTGGAAATCTGTACGGGAAATACGTCAATCAGCGCAGTAAGAAAAGGAAGACAATATACCTTGAACAAAACACACCATCACCTGCTAGTACTAAGACTAATCCTTCCACGAAAAATTACGAAGTTCCTGAAATTTATTTTACGATGTGTAGAGCATTAAAAGCATCTCTCAGTAGAAGCATTGCAGATTGGAATGAAGTCAGAGATAAATGGCAAAAGACATTTAACTTGCGACAGAATGACATAAAGGAACTGACCAACATTGATTTTCTCCAAGCGTGGCCCAAATATTCTGATTCGCGGGCTCCTGACTTGGTAACAATGAAATTACGTACTTAGCTCGCAGTTTTACTATACAATTACACATTACAGATAAAACTTGACTTCAACCTGACAAGGAGGATTGCTTGTATTCGAAATGGGAAATGTTTACGGAAAAAATTCAACGATTTTATGAAACTAATCTACACAACGATTTCTGCAAATAGCTCTTTTCTCTTGCTAAAGCTTCAACGAACAAAGGTAAATACAGATCAAGTGTAACAAAAAACTCCAAAATCAATCGGCTTTCGTTAATTTCTTAAATTTTGTTTAAAGATACGCAAGACTACGTTCTTACAACGCTGCTGAATGGAGTTCTTCCACCTTCGTCAAGGTTTCAAAGTTCCTGCGGAAAGCTAAGAAAGAAAGCAACAATAGCAGACTCGCAACAAAGCTTTGTTTTACGATTAACTTCAATCAACGATTACGAAAGGAAAATTACTGAGTTGATAAGTATGTACTATTCTGCAGGAATGACAATACAGCCTTTTATAATTGTGGAAGGAATAGCTGAGGGTGGATATAACAGGATTTTATATATATATCTAGAATGCGTAGATATCTGTTTCAAAATCTTTCACACTCTTTGCCTAAAATATCCTCAGGCATGCGAAGCTTCTTGGGTTTTTTTACAACATTTTTTTTTTTAAATTTATACTGAATATGACTGCAAGTCGGCAAATTTAACTTCTTATGACATATAATGAATTGCTTTAAAATGTTTATTTGCTTCAAGTGCCACAAAAAATTTGCAGAAATTGATACCTAATATGTCATTTTAAAGTAGATCATAAGCTTTCTACGAAACTTTTACGACTGCAATGCAAGCAAGATAACTGTAATCAATTATTTACAAAATTTACTTCGTTCCGCAATCATTTACAAAATACTCATACAAAATTTAAAAACACATACGAACCAAACGTAACTCCAACTGAAGCTATAACGATACCGATTTTAAGTAATAATTTAAGTACGGAAACAGAACCTCAAGACGTTGATAATTCATCAATGCAAAATATTGTTAATGAAACTAAAAATCTAAAGAAAAAGGCACTGTATTTATCTTTAAGTTTGTATTCTCAAAACAATTTGCCCAGGAAACAAGTAATCGATATTCAGACTATGGTATCTTCTATGATTTTGTCCGTATCCTTTACTATTCAGCATGTATTAAACTCAGAGGCTATCAGTGATGTCAATGAAGACTTACAATTATTGCTAGAGTTTTGCAAGAACCCATTTCAGGAAATAAGTTCCGAATATAGGCTTTTAAGATATTAAAGGAGCTTAATTTATATGAACATCCAAAGACTATAATCATTAAAAAATCTGTTACTGAAACAACAAAACACGGGAACCCAACCTTAACTCCTAAATCTTTCGACATATATATTATGCCTTTAAATTTTCAGTTCAAAGCTATTTTTGAGAGTCCATGCCTTCTGGAGAGCACATTACAGAACACAGAAAGATACTTGAAAGAAAGTAGTATACAGAACTTTGTTAGCGGCGAAATATTTAAATCACGAAAAGATAAAATTCAATCTGAGTTAGTTATACCATATATTCTTTATTTTGATGATTTCCAAATCAACAACGCGCTTGGCAGCCATACTTACTCGATATGTGGATGCTATTTTAGTTTTCCGTCAATGCCAAAACATCTGTTATCAAAACTAGAATACATTTTCCATGGAGCTTTCATTTCAACAAAAACA